TGAATTACTAATATAATTTTAGCGATGTTCATCCACAGAAAAAATGTAAGACTTTAGTCTGTCTGCCAAGTACCATGAGTCGAATTATGAGGTGCAAGAGATCGCCAACGAGGCACTTTTGCCAGAGAACCACCGCAGCATGGGCATCATTGACGCGTTGGCGGCTGGCAACTCCTTGTACTACTTCTCGCTGAAGCCAGACGACGCAGAACTGACTTGGCAAGACTTCCTCTACGAGCGGCTCTTCCGCTATGCGATCGCAATGATGAGATTCCACTGTCTCTTCGAGTCGCTTGTCGAACATGTGCAGCATTGATTGATTCTGGGCTAACCTTGATTGTGCGACCTGAAGATTTGGAAGCATGACCAGGCCATGTGTCGACAATGGTCACTGTAGAACAAGTAAATTTGGACACCAATCGTTGACGGACTTAGCTCAAGTTCCTCGAATGCTGCAGACTTCAGTCAGTCAGAGTCAGACTCACACTACTACTACAAATTTGGATATGATCCCATTAAATTAAAATTATTATGATGACTGAATGAAATAAACCGACCCCAGTCCCAGCTCCGGTAACCCTAACTTAACTATGCGCCCAGGCTTTCACATGGCTGCTTCCCGCTGGTTTTGGCAAGAGGCTGCGAGAGCGTCGAGGCGGCGGACAAGGTCCTGCAAGAGCTGAAAGTTTTTGCCGCAGCTGATGCGAAGGTGACCGAATTGATAAGAGAAAACCCTTGGTGCAAACTTGCAGCTACCAGATCTGCGATGCGCCTCCGATGGGTCTCTGACCTGGCAAGATTTGCGGCAAGAAACGACTGGAAAGCCACGCCAGAGCTGGTCCAGTATCTCAGAGATTGCTTCGGGTCCATGATCTTCACCTACAACGAGGAGGGCTTTGGCAAGATGAGGGAAGCCGAATCAGCAGAAGGCAAGATGCACGATTTCGCCCCGGCAGACTCCTGGTCGCAAGTTTGCACGTCGAAGGTGTTGCATTCTTTCGGTTCCCCCGAGATCGAGACGAACGGGCAAACTGTGGCCGCGCAAGAGCCCATCCCCAAAGCAGTGCACCACACGCGCAAGATGGATGGGCACCCGAAGCTGCAAGAGGTCATGGGGAAAGCTTCTTGGCCAAACTTGAGCAGCATGGGTTACCACACGACCTTCTTGGAGCAAATCCTCATGGTCAACACGCCCCCCGCCAGAATGAACACCTTGATGTCCTCCTGGAGAAGCGCCTTCATCACTGCTGGCCTGGTCGTCCGCAAGAAGACCGACACAGCGAAGGTTTGGCTCAGTCTCGGGCCCTGGACGCAAAACACGGCTGTGGGATTACTGAGAATGGAAAGGTGCGAGCAAGAGTCCTTCGTCTTCTTGAAGCTGCAAGACCCGGTGGTGCTGCATTTCGAGGCAGTCATCAACTTCTCCGACTGGGTTGTGCTAGATGCAGTTCCAGCTGCCCCGCTTACTGTCGCGGTGACAAGAAGACACAAGGCGCCAAAAAAACCAAAGGCAGGAGAACTTTGTCGTACCACCCTTGCCTGGCTTGCTGTGGGAAAGAAGCAAGACATCGGTCTCATTGCTGCAGTTTTCCGCAAGAGAAGGATTCTTCAACGTCCCGGAGTCCATGCTGAAGCGCCTCCTCAAGGAACTTCTGCTGGCACAGCTTCAGTTCACAAATTTGACTCCTTGAAGTCTTGAATTTCAGAGCGCTTCATTCTGTGAAATAGTTCTGTCAATGCAGCAACAGTGACGTTGACAGAACTGATATCGGTGTCATTGATCCTTCATGTCACAGGACGAGCACGGCGTCGTTGAAGAGGCTGATGACTTTGCAGGGCTTCTGCAAGAATCCATCCGACAAACTTTGGCCACCACGGAGCTCGTGGCACAAGCCTTGGAGAGATCCATGTTCTGGCGGTGCCAGAATAATGCAGACTCTTTGGGGAACCTTTTGGGTAGCCTGGCCAAGCAAGGTTGACACTGAACCCAAAACCCCTTAACTTGTTAGATTAGATTCCACTTCCTCGTTCAGTTGTTGTCATTGTCTTTTGCTGCCTTCGTCAGTTATTGCTTGATTCATCAGAAAATAAATCAAATTACAATTTAGATCTGAGGTGAAGAGGATCGCAAGTATGGCGATGGCGAAGAGGCGCAAGAGCTTGCAGAAGAAGCTGCGGAGAAAGATGAGGAGAACGCACCGGTGCTCAAACAGATCGCCAAAAGCATCAGGCGAATTCGCAAGAAAGCGGCAAAAGCCGAGCAGCCCTACGGCAAGAGGAAGCCCATCACCTTCCGTTCTTCTGACACCTGGGACGCAAGAAAGATGCAGCAGTTTCTGCCAGAGAACTACAAGTGCTATAAGGACAGGTTCAACAAGTGTTTCCGAGTCTCTTGCCGCCGATCTCGCTGGTCGCAAAGCAGGAGCTGGGGAGGCAAGGGAGACGCTCACGCCGTCAGATTCCTTCTCGAGTCGGTTTGGGCCAGACACGGGAATTTGCATCCCGGTGTTCAGTGTCCTTTCGACTTCGATGCCATTCACGACTAAAGTCGAAGCTGCAAAATCCGCGCCGCTGGCAAGAAGAATCGTCGCCGTCAGTGCTTGCTCGTCGATGATTGAATGCGAGGACCAAAAAAGTGCGGTGTCGATATTATTAGATGAGGTGCTGGGCAGATACAGACTTTCAAAGAAGCAGCAATCAATGTCCGAAGGCCCAGAGCAGTGGTGTTAGCGAGCCGCATTAAAATAGAACCGCCCGTTTTTGCTAGGACTTTGCTGCGGCCGTTTTCTTTGGCACGCCTGGAGCTCAGTGGGGCTAGACTGCCAAAGCTGGGGAAGTCATTTTGGGTCTTTGTCTTCAGAACAGAACTTTACTGCCACGGGGTCATGAATTTGATGCTTTGTGAAGTGCCTTCTTTCGGAGGGTGACAGGCAAGTGAAAAGAGGATGTAAGAACAAACAAGCCACTTGCCGTTGTGGCGGCAAGCACTTGGCCGCAGCAGTGCCGACATTTATTGCTCATATCCACCGTTGCCGACGCTCGCTCAGGTCCAGTCCGTGCCAGACGCCGTTTGCCAGAGGGAGCCGATGCCGATAGAGGCATGTCACCAAACTGCGTTGTGCAGTCTGCAACAAATGAAGCTTTAGATCTGCATTTACGTTATATGCCGCGTTTTAAAATCAGAAGCTCCAATCGCAGGCCACCCTTCTGCGCTGCCCGGCTGCCGCCGCTGGCGCCGTTCGCTCAGCTCCGTCCCGCTCTTGGCGTGTACGGTAGGTGGTTGAGTTTAATTAGTTCGGAGGCTGTAGTCTAAGCCCCCCGCCCTAAGGCCCAACCCGTTGCCGAATGGTATGTCAGGAGCCGTTTCAGGGTGGACCTCGACTGCGTAAGATTCCCTTGCCGAAGCATTATGGGGCCCTGTCAGAAAGCCTTGATTTAATGTTTCAGTTTCTTCACTTCAGGAGGCCGAACTCACATTCGGAGGGTATCATTTCGACCCTGGGGATGCTTCAGTTTTCGCCTTCCGGCTCCTGAAATAGAATCCCCGGTGTAGGACTCCACCGTGCCTCCTCCGAACTAATTAAATGGCTAAGGCATTGGGTGAATTGGGTGTAGTGTAGGGGGTGTTGTTTTAAGAAACCTTTAAAATAGGGGTGGTCCCTTTGGCGGAGGAAGGTTTCTTAGGCGGGCCTTTCTTCTCTAGACATACTAGGGTTGTCCGCCCAGGGGAACACCGTAGTTAGCCCCACTCCGAAAGCACTGGAGGGTACAATGCCAATTCCATCGTGGAGAACGGTTTTGACCACCGGACCTGGTGCAACCGCATGGTCGGGAAGTTTGACTTCCGCTACCAGAAGACGCCCAGGCAAAAAGGCTTTCTCCTCACATTGGACCTGGTTCGCGTCTCGCTGGAGGATGCCCTTGGCAGAAGGCCTCCATGGATCCGTTCGTGGATCCTTGTAATCTGCTGGCTGCCGGGCTGCGAGACTTCGTCTACTTAGCAGCTGCCGACACCAATTCCGAGTGTTCGGCTGGGACTGGCGGACTCCAC